TTTCCCTAGAATATAAGTTAAAAAATAATTTTCTCTCTCTTATTAGATGGGTCATATCAACTATCATAATACAAAATTTATGCTCATGGTTACAAGCAACACCATGTTACCTAGTACAATAATACCTATTATATTAAATTTTGCCGTAACAAATAGTGCTATACCATGTTACCTAGTACCTATTATATTGATTTTTTCTTTAAGAAATAGTACTAATATATCTTCTTTTATATATTTTTTATCGGTTAGTGCTACTATTATTAGGGATAAGTATGAAATTTTCTAATTTATTTTCAGATAGGGGCATTTGATTTTTTGGTTTGATTTTATACAATTCGGTTTGGATTTTTCGGCTTTTGGTTTTGAAGAAGTGTAACCCAATCCGAACCAAAATAATTTTGGTTTGATTTTGGTTTTTCTCTTTTTTGGTTTGGGTTTTTTCGGTTCGGTTAATCGGTTATGTCAATAATTAGAAACATAACAAATTTATATTTGCAATTTGAAAAAAATAATATATATATATATATATATATAATTAAATTTCTTAAATATACTTTAAATATAAATCACAAGTAAAACGTAAACCACAATACTTAAAAGTATATCAATTATAGATGTTCAAACATAAAAAATAAACTAAACCATAATGAAAATAACTAAAAAAGGACAAAAGTGGTTAACTCCAACTTAATGACAAACACACACACACATATATATATATATAATATAATTCAGTTTTTTCGGTTTTCATTTTTCTAATTCCGAAACCAAACCAAAAATCCAAACAAAGTAAATTATAAATCCAAAATCAAACCAAAAATCCAAAAAATAAATCCAAATTAGAATTCAGTTTGATTTGGTTTGATTTTTCGGTTTAATCCAAATAGTGCACACCCCTATTTTCAGATAAAAGAATATCAGATAGTATCATTCAAATAAATACAAGATTTTTAATAAGGAGATTCAGTATTTTAAAGTAATTAAAATTGTGATTTTCTTAATAGACGATGTTCATAAAGAATTACAAATAAAGTTAATGTTTATTTAATCAAATAACAATTATCAAAACTCAAACAGTCTAAAGCTTACTTAAGTTAAAATTGATTGTCTTAGTGTCAACAAAATAATTGATGCCAAAGTCTCCATTTCTAAATTTTTTTATTTCATTTCCCCCCTCCCAAGTTGATGCATCATTGGACTAGAAATGACATTTCTAACAAATTGTAAAACTGTGTTTAAATTACATTAATAGTTCTTATCCTACTAGTACTATATAATCCTACAATTTTAATTTAATCGGATACAAAATTTAAGAGATTAAAAAAGATTTTTAAATTTTATATAAAAAACAAATATTAAAATTTAAAAGTTATCAAATTAGAACAAATTAATCATATAGATCAAGGAGTATCATCCGATGGTATCAATAAAAGTCTTTCACTCGAATTGTATATTTAAAGTTTGTAATTTTAAATTCGAATTTTCAACTTTAATTCGACAAATATGATCTTGATTATAAAGCGTGGAATCATCACTATGAGTCTGACCCATTGAATCAGTTCAACATAATCCATTATTTATTAAGATTGAGATTAAGTTGGTGTTTGGTCATGTGATATGAAATCGCAATATGAAATTATGAGATGAAATCACCTTTAGTTATGTGATTTCACGGTGATCTCATCTCATGAGATGAAATTTCATATTCTTCAAAAGTCATGATTTGAAAATTTTAAATCATGATTTGGGATTTTTCAAATACAAAAATTGACATACAAGTTTATATTTTGTAAAAAAACTCCACATTTATATGTATTAACCATTTATTTCATACGTAAACAAAATTTATAATTCATATCACTACTTTTTAAACCATTTACATATCATATAATGATTATTCTCACTAACATGGAATTTATTATTACTTCAAATCAATTTCTACTTTACTATTTATATATACTAAATTCATTATTTTGATCAAACTTATTTACCAACCAAATTGACCAACAAATGGTTCAAAGTAACAATATTAGTTTGTCTTCTTAATCATATGAACGAGAAATACAAGTTCAACGTGAGAAAATTGTATGTACTATGTGGGAGGACTATATTAAAGACTAGTACACCACAATTTATATATGTTTAATTTTTTTATTGAATTAAAGTTTGATCATTAAATATTGTATTTTTTAAGAATATCTTTGTGATAGTGTATTATGGGATTTTATAAACTTTTGTTTATTTGATAAGATTGTATAAAGAATTGAGACAATTTTAATAGTTTTACAATATATGGGGTTTTTATGTTTATGAAAAAATATATAACAAAAAAAAATCCAAATCACATGTTCAAACAAAACTTCAACTTCATCTCACGATTTCATATCATAATTTCAAATCATAACTTCATATCGCATGACCAAACGGGCCCTAAGATATTAGAACTCATCGACTTGTGATGCTTGATCGACGGTGGACTGGGCGGGCCCTTAGGTCAATGGAAAATATAAAAAGAAATTAGAAAATTACAATTAATAAACTTAAACTCAAAAATCTACTTAGCCTGACATATTACAAACCACAAACACTAATCCCAGGATAAGTTATCCTGGGATTAGCTATCCTGTGATAACTTATCCCATCACTATAATATAAATGGTGGGATAAGTTATCCCAAACATGACAACCAAACAATATAATTTTTTTTTATCCCATCACTATCATTTTTAATCACTCAAACCAAATGAGCCCTAAGGTATTAAAATTTAAACACAATGTGGTATAAAATTATAAATTAAATAAATAACCAAATCTTAAATTCCCTTAAAAGATAAAAAGAACAAAAGAGCCGTTCTTTCCTCTTTTTCACTCTATTCTCTAATTATTTTTTGTTGAAATAATTTAATTGTGAATATGAGATTTGATTAACAACCTTATGCAACATTTTCTTGTAATATATATGTTTTTGCACTTTTAGGTTAAACTTATACTTTAAAACTTTTTTATATAAACTAAAAATAAGAAACGGTGGGTCCAATCATCCTAGCCGTTGACCCACGGCTAACAAAGTTGGCCACTTCAAAGCTCTTTGAAATGGTGGGTAGACTGACCCGACTTAATCCATCAAATTTTGAATTTTGAACGAATTGGATGAAGCTTGAACGCCCATATAAACAATGCTACTATTAATATATAAGATTCAGATGGAAAATTATGCAACACAACTGCGATAACCCTTATATTTACTTGAACCAAATGACATTTCAAAAAAAAATTATAATATATATTACGAAAGTTTGGATTTAGTAACAAATACACTCAATATGAGTATCTACTTGTTTTAATCCTGAAATGTGAGTGCATCTCATAAATATAGTAGCATACAAATAATTTTTGATGGAATAATTTCTAGTGACGATACGAATTAATTTCATAAAATAAAAGTGTCATATAATAATATAGATATAATGTATTTCGCCTAAGCAAGAGTACAATATATTCTACTATATTTATAAAATAAATTGCTACTACATTTTATAAATACACAAATTATCGCTATATTGGATAATTAGGGGGGAAATTATTGCAATTTACCCTTTTTATATAAGCCTCGGGGGTTGTTTGGTAAGATGCATTAGAATTTAGAATAAATAATATGTGTGTTAGTTTTGTGTTGGAATTGTTTGGTAGAGTGTATAAAAGTAGTATCAAATATGTAGTATTAGTAACATTAACATTAGTAATGTTGGTATTAGTTATATTTACATTTGTTCTGGTGAGATTGACGTTTATGCATTGTTTGATTTGGTGTATTAAGAATAATATACATTGCATAATTTTTGAAGAAAAAATTTGTTACAGAATTGCCTTCCACAAATACAATGGAAAGAACTTTGGGAAAGATTTTGAGGGGGCAAATGCATTATTAACCATGTTAATACATGCATTAAAATTCCTTACATTGCTAATACCTTGATTTTTCGTGTACTATTATACATAACGTATCACCAAATAGAGTGTACAACTAATACAATACATGTTATTTTCAATACACCAAATAAATATTGGATAAAAATAGGGCAAATTATGCAAAATGTCAACCCATAAGCTTCACTTAATATCTTTTTAGCCCAGTTTAAAAAAATTACCTAAAATGACCATTCGACCATAACATTTTTCAAAAAAGGGACCAACAACTCTTTATTTTGTGTCTTTTTTCTTCTTCTTCTTCTTCATTCGTCTTGTTGTTCTTCTTTTTCGTCTTCTTCTTCTTTTTCGTTGTTTCTCCTTCTTCTTTAATTTGAAATTTGGCGTACCTCAAACGTAAATCGTCTGTAGCGAATTATATATGAAACATTGAGAGGATTTAATATCTATGATTTGTGACTGTTTAAAAGTGGTTTTGAGTTGGTTAGAATCGAAGAGTCAATGTATATTTCTTTATAGTTAAACCATAAATTTAACTTTTTGAGTATATCATAATAAATAGTCAGTGTATAACTCATATATATGTAGCAATATTGTATAATTTATGTATACTTTTTATGAATTTTGACTATATATTATAAACTAATTACTGTCTATCTCTACAAAATAATCTCAACATAACTAATACACGTGTAACTAATACCAAGTTTTACCAAACGACCTCTTTAACGGTCCACCACTGTGCTTGACGCGTGGCCTGGTGTGGACTTTCTCTTTCTTGCGGGCCCAAATAACTTATACTACTAACTTTTTTGGGCTGCCCACTGTATTTGTGGGCCTATTTTCACGTGGGCTTTGTTGACGTGGCAATCCAAAACAATGCCTTAAAATAATCATTCGTAATCTCCATTCAACCAATCATCTCTCTCTTCCCACGTGGGACTTATAAAATAATACGTAAAATATTATATCTTTTTATATATATATAATAATAAATAATAATAAAAAAATAAATTTCCATCTTTGTTTTTCTCTATAAAGTATTCGATCCAAATGCAAATTAATTAGTTGTAATTTTTTTTAAATTGAAATCTATAGTCTTTTCTTCTTCTTCTTCTTTCTTATAGTGTTTAGTTTCTTCTAATATTCATAAAATTTAGCAAAAATAAGTGGTTATTTTGATTGGAATTCTTCGAAGTATATACAATGGGTGATTCTTCAGCTCAATACATCCACTTGGTAAGTATAGTATATTGGTTATATCTTCTTCTTATTTTAGTATTTCTTTTTATATCTTTAGTTTCTTTTAGACGTTTTTATTGAAAACAACATTTCTGCCTCGATATAGAAGGGTAAAGTTTGTGTATATATCAGCTTTTTCAGAGTTTATTGGTAAAACTATGTTGTTGTTGTTATTGTTGTTCCTTCTTGGGTTTGGTACGATCAGATATTGATTGTCAAGATGAAGTTAGAATTTTAAATTTATGATTTGTCTCAATGATCTACAACAATAACATATTCTCTCAATGATTTTGGAAAAGTTAATTTAGTGAGTTTTAAATAAGTTATTTATATATTATATAATACTTTTAATGTAAATAGAAAAGTTAACTTATTGAGTATTAAATAAATTATTTACCTATTTTCCATAATATTTTTTAAATGTAAATATAGAGTTGGAACCTTTGTAATTGAGTTTTTCCTAATTCTAACTTTCGCCTCTATTGATGACATCAAGTTATTATGAGGAAATTAATATTGGATAAATGAAATGATCTCGTTACTAGAGTTTGACTTACACATTTGACAGAATCTAATAATTTTATTTAAAATTTTGTATTTATCTTTAAAAGTTTACTTAGTAATTAATATATATATTCAAATTTTTTTATAAGTAAATTAAAATTCTAGCTCGATCTCTGTGCAGGTGCATCACTTAATTGAAGAGTGTTTATTGTTCAACATGAGCAGAGAGGAATGCATGGAAGCACTTTCCAAACATGCAAATATTCAGCCAGTTATCACATCCACAGGTTTTTTTTTTTTAAAAAATAATAATTAATTTTAGATATTGAATTTACATTGATAATGTGAATTTATATATAGCCAATTCTAACTTATTATTTCTTTTGTCCAATATGTAGTAGCCAGACTCACATCTTGAGTAATTATTTTGTTTACTTTTGTTGTTGTTTTCTCGATGATTTTACTAAGAATCTTTAATGACTAAAACCGACAAAAAAAAAATTTAACTTGAAAAGGGTAATTTTAGTTGCTTCTATTTTTTTCGTTTGTATTTTTATTATTTAATTATAAATGGATTGGTTGTTATGCAGTTGCCTGTTTGACCAAATTTTGAAAGGCGAAGGTATATATTTTTCAGAAAGAATTTTATTTTTATGTAATTTAATATTTAACGTATATTTTGAAAATATTGACAAATACAAATTACTAATATAAGAATTTTTTCAAATGATTTAACAGAAAACAAATTTACATTTCTACTACAGTAATGAATTCGTTAAATCTTTTAAGTCCAATAAATCTTTCAAATACTGATTTTACATCATTTTCGAAAATAACATCAAGTTGAAAAGGATACAACTAATTGAAATATTTTATTGTCTTATTTAACATTTAAAAAAAACGTGAAAATATTGACTTTGGAGGAGCAAATACTTGAGTGAACCAACGAGATCTAGAGTGAAATAAATAAGATCTTTTTTTCCTTATTAACTAAAAGTCTCGAATTTAAGATTTGAGTATGATATTTTTTTTTAGATATTAAGGAGCGTTTTTCTTTTAAATGAATATATCACATGAATTTAAATTACTCAGACCGTAATATGAATCGGTATGAAAACAACAAAACATGCATGCGCATGTATCATGCCTAAAATATGGATAGTGTCATAGAGATATAATTGTTAATTCAAATTTTTATTTATATTTGTAAGTTATTTTTATTTGTATGGATTGAAACATTCTCTGCTCACTTTTTCCTATTATATATTGATATTAATAAGTTTTTTTTACGTGTATACACTATCATTTTTAATTATATAATTCTATCAAGAAAAAGTGAATTCTATTTAACCTGTGACTTTAATATTGGATCTATGTGCCACCACATTATAAAGGCCGTCCCACCAAACCCATGATATTTTTTTTAATTATAAAGAAACTATATATAGGAGGAGGTAGAGGGATAACGGGGAGAAAATTATAAGATGGAGAATAAAAACATGTTATTTTTCTTCCTGTATTTTTGTGAAGCAGGCAATCATACATTGGGAAAAACAATAGTGTTAATTAGAAAAGGATTGTATATATATTATTCTTAGAGTCGAACCTCCTTAATTTGTTGTGGAATTAATTATCAAATGATCATTATATTAGTGAAAATTGTGAAATAACACTCAACAACACGCAGAAGAATGTAATTTACACACATAAAAGGAATTTACTCCATAATTTCCCTTAATTGACTGACCATTTGAACAATCAACTCGTCTCTGTATGGTTTTCTTAATTCTTTGTTGTGTGATTATTGTATTAGTTTATTTTCAATAAATTAATTAGAACATGTTTATTTAATTAATTAAATGTTATTTATATATAACAGTGTGGAAGGAGTTGGAGAAGGAGAACAAAGAGTTTTTTGAGTCATACAAGAAAAAAAACAAGGATGAAGAATCAACAACAACCAACAATAATAATAATAATATAGAATCCAAAGTGGAGATAACAAGACAAAGAATCCACAAGATGCTCTTGGATTCCTCCCTCTCTAAAGACAAACCATAGCACTAATTAATTAGCTCATGTTTTTTTTTAATCTTATTGTGTTCAAAGTAATAAATTAGAAAATAGATGTAGAAATAATTGACATGTTATTATTTGTGTGTTCTTAAGAAATTCAATCGATCTACTCATTATTAATTGACACATTATTTGCGCTATCTTATGAAATTCAATCGATCTTGTTTGCAATAAATTTTAAAGTGACAGAAAATAAATTGTAATCACAAATAAAATTTGAAGAAATATAATTTTATTGATCAAGATAGTGAGCACAATATTTTAATTTTATAGCTTTTTACTCTTTAGATAGTAAAATAACGAATCACGAGTGAAAATTTAAAATAATGACAATTCAATAAAATTTATGATTTATCATATTGATTCATTGTTATTTGTATGCAATTATTTTGACTCTCCCTAATTAATAGCATCAAACCGTTTTCCAAAACGGTACCGTGTCACTTCAAAAGAATTTATGAGTTATTACAAGAGTTTATCATAACTTGCTTAATTTAAAGATAATTTTATCCATTTTTTTCATTAAACTTAAGAAGTCATCTTTAGCAAAATATCAAATGCAAGGATAGAATTTAAAATATCATTAAAATTAGGGGGTTGTTTGATTGTTGATGAGGAAGAGACTTTTCATATTCTTCTCCTCCTTTTTCTTCTTCGAAGTGTGTATTTATGCACAAATATACTGGATATATCTATGCACATTTGATAATGATTTATTTGATGAATGTATCAATGCATATTTAATACTAAATACATATATCTATGCACAAATACATTAAATATATCACATTTTTGATACCAGATTTATGTATCTATGCAAAATACGTTGTATACATCATGTATTTATTACCAGACACATGTATCTATGCATAAAGCCATAAACACACCGAACACATTAGTGTCCTCTCAAAACCAATTTATATTAAATACACCGAATACTTCAATACATATTTGATATTGTATACATGAAATTGGTACCGGATACTCTAGATATTTGATACTAGATATATTGCATGAAACTGATATAAAATAAACTAAAAAGAATTTTAGATCAATTATACTGAATGAAATTGATTCTAATACATCAAACTAACATTTAAATAAAGCGTGTAAGATACATTATATATTGATTACAACAAGAAAGAAGCAAGGTGTATCTTAGATACAATCGAGTTGCATGTCGAATACATTGTATCTGATAACAAACACAGACACGATTTGTAATTAAACAAACTATCGCATCTTTATGTAATTGCACTCTATGCTACTGTGTTTTTTGAAATTTGTTCAAAGGAAAAAAAGTACATTTGGGCCACTTTAAGACACCTCTTTAAGAAGTAAAGTACAATTCTCTTTGGATCCTGGTTTGTTCAAAAAAAGCCCAAACATTTAAAACCCTCACGAAGCCCAAATCATTGTCTTCTCGGAATTGCCAACTTTTCTCGAGAATTGTGCCTGACCTCCATTGTCGCCGGAGCTCAACAGCTCTCACTCTCTTCTTAAGAGCCCCCCTCCCC